CTGCCAACGTTGGCCCAAGAGTCGTCTTTAAGTCAGACTCTGCTAATGTACGTTGGGCCGACGTCGTGCCGTGATTTGTATGACAACCGAGTGCCGACATATTCCCAACGTTGGCCCAAGAGTCGTCTTTAAGTCAGACTCTGCTAATGTACGTTGGGCCGACGTCGCGCCGTGATTGGCGTGACAACCGAGTGCCGACATATTCCCAACGTTGGCCCAAGAGTCGTCTTTAAGTCAGACTCTGCTAATGTACGTTGGACCGACGTCGCGCCGTGATTGGCGTGACAACCGAGTGCCGACATATTCCCAACGTTGGCCCAAGAGTCGTCTTTAAGTCAGACTCTGCTAATGTACGTTGGACCGACGTCGCGCCGTGATTGGCGTGACAACCGAGTGCCGACATATTCCCAACGTTGGCCCAAGAGTCGTCTTTAAGTCAGACTCTGCTAATGTACGTTGGACCGACGTCGCGCCGTGATTGGCGTGACAACCGAGTGCCGACATATTCCCAACGTTGGCCCAAGAGTCGTCTTTAAGTCAGACTCTGCTAATGTACGTGGGGCCGACGTCGTGCCGTGATTGATATGACACCCGAGTGCCGACATATTGCCAACGTTGGCCCAACCTTGGTCCGACGCTGGCCTCAAGTTGTCTTCAGATAAGGGTCGGCTATCGGAGGCTGGGCCGACGTCGCGCCGTGATTGGCGTGACGACCGAGAGCCGACATACTACCAACGTTGGCCCAAGAGTCGTCTTTAAGTCAGACTCCGCTAATGTACGTTGGGCCGACGTCGTGCCGTGATTGGCGTGACAACCGAGTGCCGACATACTGCCAACGTTGGCCCAACCTTGGTCCGACGCTGGCCTCAAGTTGTCTTCAAATAAGGGTCGGCTATCGGAGGCTGGGCCGACGTCGCGCCGTGATTGGCGTGACAACCGAGTGCCGACATACTGCCAACGTTGGCCCAACCTTGGTCCGACGCTGGCCTCAAGTTGTCTTCAAATAAGGGTCGGCTATCGGAGGCTGGGCCGACGTCGCGCCGTGATTGGCGTGACAACCGAGTGCCGACATACTGCCATCGTTGGCCCAACCTTGGTCCGACGTTGGTCTCAGGTTGTCTTCATATAAGGGTCGGCTATCGGAGGTTGGGCCGACGTCGTGCCGTGATTGGCGTGACAACCGAGTGCCGACATACTGCCAACGTTGGCCCAATCTTGGTCCGACGGTGGCCTCAAGTCGTCTTTAGATAAGGGTCGGCTAACGGAGCCTGGGCCGACGTTGTGCCATGTTCGATTAATGATAGTCAGTTTGCCGTGATGTCGCCAACGTCGGCCCAACGTTCAACGTCGGCTGATAGTCGGCAAACCTTACCTGGGCACATTCGAAATTGGAAACTTTCGTATACTGTGTTCAATGCTTTTAATACAACTAAAAATAATATTCTTTTTGTTGTTATTATTTAACGCAAATTTTCCAATTGACAAGAGAATAGATATCACAAACCACTCTATACCTATTTTAAACAACGTTGTTTCATCTCACCTAAAGACATCATCAATTGACAAAGAAATATTATAGTTGGAAAAAATAACAAAAGATTTCATGAAATCTCATCCTAACATAATTTTTACACGTGCTGATAAGGGCAATATCACGGTAGCTCTGGACAGGGATTTATATAGGAAGAAAGTTAATGACATGCTTCAGGATAATAATACATATGAAATCATTAAAAAAGATCCAACTAGGAAAATTACTGTGTCTCTCAAGGGTCTGCTATCGAGATGGAAAAGATGTAAATACATAACTGATTCTCAGTATAGAAGGTTATCTTGCAATGATGGGTCACTGGCGAGAGCTTATGCACTGCCAAAATAAGCCAAACTTTCACTTTAGAACCATTGTGTCATCCATAGGTAGCCCGCTTTATTCTTTGGCTTCCTATTTGCATGGTATTTTGTTTGAAACAGTTCCCAAAGCTGATAGCTACATTGTTAACAGTTTCCAACTCGTGGAAGCTCTAAGAAGAACACGGATAGAGAAGAATTACAAATTGATTTCTTTGGATGTAATTTCTCTGTTCACAAATATTCCGATCGATATAGCTTTAGATTAATATTAACGATAAATGGGATTTTATTTTTAAAAAATGTACATTACCAAAAGGAGAGTTTTTGTCGGCTGTTCGTTTAATTTTAGATTCTACATATTTTATATTTGATAACATCATATACAAACAAAATTTTGGTACGCCCATGGGCTCTCCTTTGTTACCGATAGTTGCTGATTTGGTGATGCAAAGATTAGAGAAGATGGCACTAAATATGTTTAAGAATAACACTCTTTTTTATTATAGATATGTTGATGACCTATGCGCTGCGGTTCTTTTATCTGAAGTTGACAACTTTTTAGATTGCTTTAATTCGTTCTACCCACTGTTAAAACTCACCCTGGAGATTGGTGAGAATTCTTTAAATTTTCTTGACATCAAAATGACGGTTAAAAATAATTTTTTATCTTTTGATTGGTATCATAAACCTAGTTTTTCAGGGAGGTTTTTAAATTTTTATTCCAACCACCCGTTATCTCAAAAAAGGGTGTTATCATTAGTTTGGTTGACAGGGCTATTTTATTGTCTGATTCGGAATTTCATAACAAAAATTTGACTCTTATAATTAATATTTTACGAGATAATGATTATCCGCTTAAACTTATATTTGATGTTATTAATAAAAGACTAAAGAACATCAGAGTTAGAGGTGCAGCGTGTAATAATCAAGATCATAATATTGGTGACCAAGTAAGCGATGTTTCTTGGTTCACAGTGCCATTCATTCCGTTAGTAACAGAAAAATTCAATCAATTTAATAGGAAAGATATCAAAGTCTCGTTTTACAGTATGAATAAATTACAGAAATATATCAAGGTACACATTAGGATCCTCGTCTTCGTCTGTCTAAAAATAATGTTGTGTATAGAATTAATTGCAATGATTGTGATGCATCGTATGTAGGACAGACGAGTAGACAGCTAAGAACTCGTATTGCTGAAACGTTGGAACACTTCGTCTCGTTCAGTTATAACAGAACATAGATTGGAGAGTAGTCATGATTTCAATTGGGATGAAATAGAAGTTCTTGACGAGGAACCTTGTTACCATAAGCGATTGATTTCCGAGATGCTTCATATAAAAGAACAAAAGAATAGCATCAATCTTCAAACCGACACTGAGGGCTTACATAAGGCATACATTCCGATTGTAAACAAATTTAACTTTGTATAGCCAAGATCATACCAATGTAAGTAATTTTCTGTTAGTCAGTGTTTGTCCGTTGAAACAGTTATACGCATGTAATTTTATCTCTGGACTTTCTACAATTTTTATACTTTGATTGTCTATTATTGAAAAAATATAATTTAATGGAATTGGACTCTGTGATTTTACATTATGACGAATATTAATTATTATTTGCTATGACACTGACTGACAAGAAGATTATGAATATTTCATCTTCGAGTTCTTAAATTGTTGACGTATAATGGTGAGTGTTCTATCGTATTTGCTTGAGTAATTATTAAATCAATTAATTGTAGAATTTTGTTAGAACATCAAGAAATTCTGTTCAATCGGCCATCCAACCTTTTGTCAAGCAATTTCGATACCTTTGGTTTATGTTCATTCGTTGACGTGGTCTACTATCGAATTTTATTCAGCGTTTTCGAAATAATGTTAAAATTTTATATTTATCATATATCTGAAGAGGGTCTAATATAAAGACCGAAACATGTAATATTTTGCAATGGAATTCATGTAATGTTATTTAATGTAATAGAATTTTGATTATTTTTTAATATTGTGCGTTGGTATTGACTCTTACATGCCTTGTTTTCATATTTAATTTTTAAAATTTCTTATATAAATAAATATTATAATTTTACGCTACTGTGTTATTGCAACACATTCTCCTTATATGTATGACTCATATTATCAAATATACAACACCATACACTTTATTTATATCTCATGATTTCATCTTCCCTTTCCTTTTTAAATAGATACTCGTACAATAGTATCGTTTGAGAATACATATGTACATATGTAAGATCACACACACAGAAGTAATTCATTCGTCTTGCAGTGTACATCATTTTATATACCATAATGTCTATTGTGTTTATCATCATTTTTGTTACCATTGTTAAAACTATAATGGCAACGACTACAACGATAAATTCTCCTTCTTCTCCTCAAGGTATAAATACAGAAATAATTCTATATCTGCAAAAGTATGGTTATTTAAATAACATTGGGAATAATACCAATTATCGATCGGGAGTGAAAAAATTAAACAGGCTATTTCATTGTTTCAAGAATATTATCAAATACAAGGTGATGATACGTGGAACGATCATACGTTACATCAAATGCGTAAACTACGATGTGGTCTCCCAGATATTCCACATCATGAGCACAATACAGGTATACATAAATGGATGAAAATAAATCTTACGTGGAACTTTCATTTGGCAAATGCAAATGTCTTAAAAACTACAGCATTCGCATTCTCGTTATGGGCAGCAAATTCATCCTTAACATTCGAGCGTAAAATATTATACCCTGACATTTTAATATCTTACCGTAGTGGTACTCACACATATGTTGATCACAAACGTAACGCAGAAATTTGCCCCTCTTCATTCGGCGGTCGTGGTGGAGTACTCGCTCACGCGTTTTATCCTTCACGTAATCCTAATTATACCGAAATACATGTTGACAATGCAGAAGCGTTTGCGTTTGCTAAAAATACTAATACAACTGTTAAACTCAACTTAGAAGATATTTTAGCGATTCAGCATCTATATGGAAGTAACAAACCAGGAATAACAACAACTACTACTACTACTACTATAAAACCACCAACAACGACTACTAAAATTCCAACAAATAAGCCTGATAAAATAGATCTCTGTGAATTACAATATGTGGATACTATATTAATATTAAATCATCGAATATTCGTCACGTATCAAGGCTATATATGGTCGATAAATATAAATGATAACAAATATGGCGGACCATTTGAGCTAAATACTTACATGAATTTCCTCCCAAAAAATTTCTCTTTGTCAGCCGCGTACCAAAGACCCTCGGGTGAAATAGTACTATTTATAAATTATATGGTTTATATGGTCATTTATCCCAGTTTCAAATTAAAAGAAGGCTGGCCGAAACATCTAAAAAATTCGGGAATTCCCCCAAACGTTGTAATTAATATCGCGATAAATACTCACAAAGGACGAACAACCTACGTAATCTTCGATGATAACGATGTGGCGCAAATAGACGAATGTACTCTGACTGTTAATGTATATCAAACGTCACAATCAATATTTCCAGGAATACCACCATCTCCAACCATAGCTTTCCGATATATGGATGGTAATATTTATTTTGCTAAGAAACAACAATTTTACCAATACAACGAATTCAAGAGAATCGTGACAAAAGCGGATAAATTTAGTATAAAAAAAATACTTAACACTGAATGTTCAAGAGATGGATTATTGCAACAGTTGCAAGATATCTTGAATCAATTCATTCAGTACAGTTAATACATATATAAACATATATATTACCTAAACTATTAATATATATGTTACATATAACATATATAAATACAGATATAATACATATATAATACATATATAATACATATATAATACATGTATAAACGAGAAAATGAAAGGGAAGTGGAAAATGATATCACACATAATTATATAATTGTGTAATCATTTTTTACAAAACGATCAGTATGAAAGGAACAATCGTTCCAACAACATCATTTAAAAAGAATGTATGCACTTTCCAATTGTGAAGACGATATTCCGAAACATATAAACAAAATGTTCAGCAATACGGATATTGAGAATTACCTCATGGAACAGAATAACCAGGACAAACTGACAATAAGCGCGAAGAAGGCTAAATTCAATGATGGAGAAAATCCAAATAAAAAACAATCAAATACGTAAGTATTTTTTTCTTTTTTATATCTATTTTATATCTCATACTTTCTTTAAAATTACAGATATCAAATTACCCGTTATCCAATCGTTCGAATTCTTGAAAGAAAATATCCTTTAACACTAACTGGATATAAATATTTAAACATTGGTATCGAGGCCAAGCTACCTTCCTGTATAAGCATAATTCTTGGAGATTGTCATGGGAAGGAAATTCCACTCTCACTCGACATCTGGAGAGAACTTCTCGAGCAGAAACATATAATACTGTCTTTTTTGCAGTACGATGAGACCAAAGGGATACGTCCTCCGTCTCCAATGTATATTGGAAATCTAACGTTACGTTTCGGACGAATTAATAATCTACCGATATTACGTTTGGAAGCGCCCACGACTCGCCTATCCATGTCAAAAAACACCGTGCTCAATATGTTTAATCTGGAATATTGTGTAAATCGTCTTATTTCCCGATTGACCACGTCTCGATTGGACACCACCAATCACAGCGACCGGTGCTTAGGAGCAGTGATGCACATTTGGCTCCCCGGCAACACGGAATCCAGCCCCACCACTTTTACCCCCACCTACCGGCATCGAGTCAGCCGTCTTCGCCGCGAGAGCGAGCGAGACAGCGAGAGGCAGCGCCCGTCCTTTTCGCTCTATTAGTAAACTCGTAAACACAAGCGAGTATTAGAGAGAAAAGGACGGCCGCTCTATCTCGCTGTCTCGCTTTCCATACTAGTCGCTTGTTATAAGCGACCGAAAACCGAAAATGTACTTTCTCGGCCGCTCGGCGTATTCTTGTATAGGCTATCCCGATCTTTTTTGCCAATCACTTTTGTATTCATAGAGCGGATTGAACGGAGTCGAAAAGTCCTCTACCATTTTGCAATTTTCGCAATATCTAACAAGATATTAATTACTAAAAATTGCAAAATGGTGGAGGACTTCGACTCAGTTTAGTCCGCTCTATCTACACAAAAATGATTGGCAAAAAAGGGACACCCTGTATAAGGGATAAAGAGACATGAACACACATTCT